CTATGGGGGGGGCTCACCTGGACAGGTGGGGGCCGGGGGGTTCACTTGGGCAGGGCCCACGGGAGGGGAGTGGGGCGATGGGGGCTCACCTGGGCAGGTTTGCAGGGGGTGTGTGGGGGTATGTGGGGCGGGGTGGCCGCAGCAGCGTGGAGGTGGGACGGGCAGGGTGATCTCAGCCCTCCTGGGTGTGGGGCAGCGGGCGAGCGCGCAGGCGCTTGGGCCAGTGGCCGTGTGAGGGCCGTGGGGCTCAGAGGTGACGTGGGGCTGGAAGGCTCCAGCCTGTGCCGGGGATTTCCGCTGCCTTCGCTTCCAAGCCCTGTTTGCCATTCAGTGTCGGGATCTCCTGGCCACGCCAAGACCATGCGGGACGTTTGAAGGCATCAGGGTGGGCTGCGGGCGCCTCCGGGCTGCCAGCTCCAGGAATTCTGCCTCTCCAACTTGCCCAAATGGTGCCCAAACCCTGAGCGCCGCTGGCTTTTAGGACAGAAAATCCCACCCGTGCGTTTCCTTTTTCCCCATGGATTGAGCGTTGCTCTAGAGCTCAGAAATACCTGAAGTTCCGTCTCACCTGAAGTCAGGGGGATCCTGCCCTGAGTTTGATCCTAGGGATCCTGCCCTGAGCTTTTTCCCAGGGTTAATCCCTGGTGCTGTGCGAGGGAGCCCAGCAGAGCCCCGCGCCCGGACATGTGGTTGCTGCTCCTACGCTGGAGTTACTCTCCCTTAAACCAGCCGTGCCCGTAACAGGTTTTAAAAGAGAGTCAGCTTCTCATCCAGTTCCTTCCCTGTATTGTTTATCAGAGTTTATTTAGACTTGCCTGATAAAGTCAAGCCTTACCAAACTCATCACCTAAGGGCGTGCTCTTAACAGCCTCTTCTACTTTTTCCCCCTCTATTTTTTTTTTTAATAAAAGAACAGGGTAGGGGGAGCTGATCAGGACTGATGATGCCCCACGTGATAAATCGTATGATATTGTGGCTGCAGTTCCTCGGCTCACCAATGCTTGTTGCATCATGCCTGGACCTGGGCCACGGGCTCCTGAGGAGGAATGCTGCTGGGTCTCGGCTTCTTCCAGAGCTCAGATTTCATCTGCGGGAAGGCTGGGGGGAAAATCCCCGCTTTGGTCAGACCTGCGCCTTGGAGCGGGGTGTCTGCCTGGCATCTCTTTTATCGCTGGTCCTTAACTCTGTTGGCCAAGAGCCGCTCTTGCTGCGGTCCTGGGCTGTGTATTAATGCTGCATAAATGCTCATTGATGGTCAGGGCTGTAGGGTCCAACGCCGTGCTTGGGATCACTTCAGGAGAAAACCAAATTGGGGGTGGAAGAAGGGAAAATTCAAAGCTTGTTGCTTCGCAGAGTTTTTTCTCCAGAACCGATCACCCAGAAGGAAGAGGCTTTTTAGCTGATGAGGGTATCGGGGATTCCTGTGCCTGGTAATTCCTCTGCCTTGAGGCAACGTTGCTTTCTTGGGATGTTTACTGTGGGTGAAAATACCATTGCGTCTCGCCCACGGCTCTCAGCCTGGCTTCTCCCCGAGCTTTGCAAGACTGATAGGTTAGTCAGGGATGGCAGCCCTCGCCTGCCAAGGGCTCTGGGGGGGGATGAGGTACTTGAACTGCACTTGCTGGGGAAGGTGGCGTGGGCTGATAACCTTATCGTGCACTTGTGCAAGCTCTGCTGAGTCGCTGCTTCATGCAAAGCAATGAAATCCCGTGCCTAAGGGGCCTTTCCAAACAGCAGATAATGCTGTGTTGTTGCTCTGATCACCTTCGTGGCCTGGCAGAGTTTGAGTGGGGAAGAAAGACTCCTTTTATTCCCTCATGGGGCCAGTGAGGCAGTGGGACAGGTTGCCCAGTCTCAGTCCCTGAAGACTTTCAAGACCAGAGTGGGTAAAGCCCTGAGAGCTGCTTGTGGCAGGGAAGTAAAATCAAGACTTTTCTTCTAAGCTGGCTAGAAGAGCACTTTATAAACTCGCAAACCCTCCCAGCTGGAGAAAGCAGCCGCGGGAGACACGGAGCCAGGAGCTGGTGGAGGGATGTGGATTTGATCCCTCCAAGGCAGGGTCTGGAGATGGCCCCGTTCCTGGGCTGGCTGGGGCTCGGGGGGGTCTGTGCCGTGGGGAGGGGGGGAGGATCGCCCTCCCCGCGGCCTGGCTGGTCTCGGCAGTGTCGGTTTTGGGTCTGCATCACCCTTGGCAGCCCCGTGACCGCTGGACCTGCTGCGGCCGGTGCTCACACCCTTCCTTGTAAAGCGTGGGAAGTGTCCGGGGAGGAGGAGGCGGGGGATCGTCTCCATAGATGGCGGGACAGCTCGGGTCTCTATTGTTTCAGCCTTTCAAAGCAGCTTCTGACTCACAGAAGAAATATTTGCTTTAAGAGGCAGGTTTCATGCTCTCTGTATGGGAGGGGAAGGGGAAAGTGCCTCTGCCAGACTGTCACTGCTGGGCAGCACATGGCATGGCCGGGCATCATAACCCCGGGTAGAGGGGCAGAGGCTGAAGTTCGGGGCAGATTTATATCCATTTGTATCCATTTATATCCATGGAGCAGCTGTGCCCTGTGCTGGTTGAGAGACCAAGGGCATTGGTCCCCCTTGGGGCCATTGGGGTACCCAAAGGTCCCCCAAACCCCGATGGGGCGAGTGGCCATTCCTGTTGAACATTGTCCCCCCCCAGCTGGAGTGACCCAGCCGGTACAGAAAGAGCTGAGCCAGCAGAAACGGGGTGAGCTGGCGGAAACGGGGCCGTTGGCTTCCCGATCCGCAGCAAGATAACGGGGATAATGCGGAAACGCCGGAGGCCGTGCTGTCCCCTGGGAGCCCGGAGCAGCCCGGGTGTTTCTTGTGGGCACAGGAGCCACGTACCAGCCTTGACACGGGGCTGGTTTCCTCCCCACAAACGCCCTCCCTGTTCCACTTCCCTACCCTTCCATTTTCTTCAGTGCTGTTGGTTCATGCGCTCAGAAATTGGGGAAGGAAAGGGGGCCTGATGTTATCCTAAGGAAGCGTTAGCGGGCCTTTGCCCTGCTGATAACCTGGCGCGCAGGGATCCCTCTGCAAATCCTCCTCGTGCTTTGCCAAGGAAATAACCACCCCGGTAGGGGAAAGTGCCCTTCACTTGCATCAAGAGGAGGTTTGGCCACCGGGTCCAGCATCTCTGAGCCATCCCAGAGCTCCTCTCCTGCTTTTCCTGAGCACGCTGGGCAGAGCAGCTTTGCCCTTTCTTCCCTTTCCCCGAGGACTTGGGGTGTTTTTTAACCCAGGTTTTTCTGTATTTTTTTAACAGGAGGCTGCTTTCAGAAGTGACGCAGCAGCACTGGATAAAAGGGACACAAACAGTGGAGGGGAAGAGTTCTACCAAGGCCAAGACAGCAATCCCTATTTCAGGAAGTGCCCTGCGGGTAAGACCTGGGTCCCACCACGTGCAGCCTCGCCGTGTTCCTGCTGCAGAGCCCATGTGTCCTTGCTCCTCGCAAGGAGGCAGTGGCTGCTCCAGCTTTCCCCTGTGCTGCTGTTGTGAGATCTGAGGACTCATTAGGCAAACATTTTCCTTTTGATGCTTCCTAGTTTGCCTCTTAACTTCACTAGCAGTGCAGTCAACTCCCTCTCTGCGGAGACATCTCCATCCTGTGCTCTGTGTTCACAGATACACCCTTTCTTTCTCCACCCCTTCTTGCAGGCACCTACGTTGCAGAGCAAAATGGCTCCAGCAAGTGTTTGCCCTGTAAAGAAGATGAATACACCGAATACCCAAATGATTTTTCCAAGTGCCTTGGGTGCCGGACGTGTAGGGAAGGTACGAGCTGGTGTGTAAGAGGGTGATGCTGGCTGATAGCACGGGCTGGATTTAGCTGAGCAGAGACCTCTCTATTTAAGAGCACGGTCCCCTGCAGCATCCCCAAAGAGTGGCTCAGGCTGCAGGGAGTGGGCTGGGCCTGGAATCGGTGTAGCAGACCTGTGTCTCTGTTCAATGCAGCTTCCCTTGTGCAAAACTTGGCCACGAGACCTCCAGCAAGGACCGGGAGGATGGGGCTCACGGCAGCGTTGTAGGCTGCTGGGGGAGCTTTGATGCAAGCGTGGCTTTTTCTCTTGGGCACGGTGAGGTGTGAGGCAGGAAAGGGTAAGGCTGCAACTCGACAGTGGAGAGTGACTTGGTCTTCCTCAGGCTCGCGAGTCAACTCGGGTCATTAGCCGCCTTAACGAAGGAAGTGGTTTGAGGAGCGTGGCGTGGAGGGGCTGGGGTAGAGCTTCTCTCTTCTCACCCGCAGATCAGGTGCAGCTGAGTCCCTGCCAGGCAGTCAGGGACACGCAGTGCGCCTGCAGGAACGGCACCTTCTGCTCCCCGGACCACCCCTGCGAGATGTGCCAGAAGTGCCGGCCTCGGTGAGCTGGGTGACGCGGTGGGACCCGCTGGGCTCTGGGCTGCTAGCCCCAGGTGCTGAGCTTGCCCGTCTCCCCCCTTTCTCAGGTGTCCTAAGGATGAAGTGGAGCTGGCTCCCTGCACGCCGCACAGCGACCGCCAGTGCGGACCCCCCACCGACACCTTCTCCGGCTCCTCTAGTAAGTGGGGGGGCTGCTGGAAGAGGGGAGATGGGCCGAGGGACGGAGATGTGAGCTGAGAAAAACCAGGAGCACCTCCCCACACACTCTGTTTTATCCACTTTAGACAACTGGATCGTGATCTCCATAGTGGTGGGTTTACTCACGCTGCTGGTTTTGCTCTTCATCTGGATATGCTGCCACCGCCGGCCCCCAGGTGAGCTCCGGGTGCAGGGGACCCCCGACACGCTCACCCTGGCCTGGGGAGAGGGGGGCTCTGTGTGGGTGTGGGCTGCCTGGGAGAAGAGGGACCTGCCTGAGGGATCACAGCACTATTTTCATCTTCCAGGGGACGGGAGAGACCTGAGCGGGAAGTCCTGCAGCATGATGGTGAGTTGAGGGGGATGCTGGGGGGTGGCAGCTCCGTTTGTGGGGCTGGGCTGAGGTTCCCCCAGTTTGCCTGCAGCTCCCGCGAGGGCCGCGGGGATGGGGTAGAGCTGGGCCAAGCAGAGGGGGGGGCTTGCAGCCCCCCATCCAGTGCCATTAGCCCTTCCCTGGCAGAGGCGTTGGCACATCCAGGGTCCCCAGTGGGGACCCCGGGTTAAAGAGGAGGGGTTGGGCTGTACTGGGAGCCCTTCAAGTTCAAGATGAGCAAGCGAGCCGTGGCCTTGACATGGCGGCAGGGTGGGTGCCACCACCATAGGTGACATCCCGGGTGAGCCCTGCCCTCCTGGCCCCCCCCAACTCAGGTGGTTGGTGCTTCTCTCCTGTGGCAGGACTACCTGCTGCGGCAGCTGAGGTACCAGCGGGGGGGCCTGGGGACACAGGACAACATCCGCAACGAGCAGTTCTCCCGGGATCAGCTGCTCCCCACAGCGTCGGGTTTGGTGACTCCCAGTGCGCCAGGGCTGGAGGTACGTGGACATGTCCCTCCCCTCAGCCGTGCTCAGCTGAGGTCTGATGCTTTCCGCTGCCTTCACCAAGCTCATCAGCTTGGGGGGAGGCTTCTAGGGCTGGAGGACGATTTCTGCATGGAGGCGCCAAGGGGTCTCTTGTCCTTGTTTTGGGCTCAGGACTGCAAAATCTGCTCGTTGCAATCAGCTCCCAGAGTGTTCTGCAAATTTAATGCTGATGCTGAGCAAACAGACAGCTCTTGTCTCCCTGGCCAGGACCCACGAGGCAGCTCTCCTCTGCTTGTGGCCTGCTGTCATCCCAAAGCGAGGAAACGACTGGTGTCCCGGGGCGGGGGGGGTGTGGGGATCTCCTGCCCCAACAGCCCCCAGAGAGAGGGAGAGGGTCTCCAACCCCCTGTTAACAGGCCCTGGGGACAGCATTTATGCGGATGCTTGGTGGGTGCTCTAGGACATTGTCTTTCCAGGTGGCGGTGCCGAGGTCCTCAGATCCCAGTGTGAAACCCAGGAGGAATCTGGTTCCAGTGCCAGGAAAAGACCCCGTTACCCGTAAGTGTTGGGGCCCAAGGGATGCGCTGGGGTGAGCCTGTGGGATGAGCTTTCGAGGCAAAATCCTTTCTGACCCAGCTGTCTGTGCTCTACCATGTTCTCTGAGCTTTTTCCTTCCCTCTCTCTAGTTTTGCGACGCTCTTTTGACACCTTTGCCCGAGATGTGCCCTACAAGGACTGGAAGAGATTCGGCCGAGCCCTTGATCTGCTGGAGAACGACATTGTCCTCGCGGAGATGAACGACAAGTACTCGCTGGAGCCTTTCTTCCAGATGCTCAACACGTGGCAGAACAGACAAGGGATGGATGCCTCCGTCAACACGCTGCTGGAGACCCTGCACCAGATCAATCTCGGCGGGACTGCAGAGGACATCTCCTCCAAGCTGGTCCAGCAGGGATATTTCCGATATGAAGTGAGCTGAGGAGCAGGGCAGGCCCTGAATCAACTTACTTCAAGCTGCAGACATGAATACCTCCAAGAACACTTGAGTTTTATCTTTTTATAGCTCTCCTGTGGCGCTTTTCTTTATGAAGCCGTTGTACAGTTCGGGTGAGCCTGGAGGAGTTGATCCTCTCTCATGAAGCACAAACCTCATGCTCGTCTCTGCCGAAGCAACGGGCTCAATGTTGGTGCTTCCTTACGAAATCCCAGCTGCTGCCTTGATTTCACTGGGTCAATGCAAAGAGCCTCAAACTGTTTCAAGCTGCCTCCGGGACTGTCTCGCTGGGAAGTGCTGGTACTACACGGAGCAGCGCAGGGAAGGGCCTTGGCAGGTTGTAGGCATCCCTGTGGTTTTCAACTGGATCATCCTTTTTTTGGG